GGTCGATCGAGAATGTTGCACACGGATATTAGAGCGATTGAAGTGTTCGGAAGTGTTGTTTGAAATAAGGAAGGAACAAAAATAACAATCAGACACGACCCAGCGTCGAAAGAGCTAGGAACTTTCTCCAGCAAAATTAACTGTTTCAAACTGGATCTCCCCCCAAGTGAGTTTATTCTTTCTTATAAATCAAAGACACTGTATATTTCTAGGGAATGCATATTGAAGACGCCACCGTTAGCTCTGCTCATAAACATTTCACCTTTCAGTACAGGTAGTTTTTCTCATGATCTCTACAGGAACCTTTCCATGAAATCAATAATTTGTCTCCTCGAGAAAAAATACATCAATCACCCTGACGTATTCCTTAATCAATGGGCTTTTTTCAGGACTTAGAGGACAAAGCAAGATATTTAACTTGTCAGTGCCACATAACAGCGAAGAGGTCAAAGAACTTTGCTCAGCGATTTATTGAGTTCTTTTCGATGAGGTGCAAAGTTGCTTTACACGAGAGGGAAAGCACAAAATAATAGTTTGTGAGGAACACTGAAATTTGAAAGTAAGCCCGAAAAGAAAGATAATGACTAAGAAAGAGGTAGATAAACACGAATACAAACCAAGTGATAAATCGGCTATAAGAAATTTAAGCTGACTTTTTCAAAGTGCTAGAACAGTGGTGTTGTTTCTTTGATTCTTTTACCGGTCACCCCCTAAAAGCGACCAATAAGTAAATTCTACACACAATATCAATACATTGTCAAGCAGAGAGGAGGTGAGAAAGAAGGAAAATATCAACAAATGAATGTTACTTGACTCAGAACTAACATTGCGCGAAACGAATGGCAGACAGAAAAGGGAATTGATGTCTAGATGATGCAAATAAGAGTTTCAATGACAAACGCTTCGTATAAGTCGAAAGAAAATGCATAGCAGCTTGAACTCTCGTCAATAAGGGGCCCGACCATTTAACTTTTGAGAGGGTGGGGTGGGTGATTTCTGGTCATCAATAATTTTTTTTCTAGCAATCTGCTGTGCAGGATATTTTATCCGTTCTAAATGCCCTTTTTCTTCTGTTACATTTGGGCTGCATGCAATTTTTTTCTTCCAACAAG